AATTAGACGTTGCACCCCTTGTCTCGCGTGCCTGGCTTATTGTCTATAAAGCCCCGGATCATGTTGTAAACGTAAACGCGAGAATACGCTTGGATCTATTCGATGAAAATGTTTATAGGTTTCTTCGTCGAGTTTCTGCTTCGAACGGCGAAACCCGAAGGAACGCCGGAAGCGAACGTAACGCGTTTGCGAAGCGTCTTTTACCAGTGTGTTTGTAATTAGAAACCACAAAGAATATGTACATATATATATATTCGATCTTGTTTTGCACGGAATCGGTGAAGCGTCTTTTACCAGTGTGTTTGTAATTAGAAACCACAAAGAATATGTACATATATATATATATTCGATCTTGTTTTGCACGGAATCGATGGAAAGGAGTTTCGCGGCGCAACAGAGACCCACGCGACATTCGGCCGACTATGCGGTATCAACATTCAACGTTCAACATTCGAGAGTCCACGAGTAGGAGAGCATGACGTATTCGGGGACGCGTACGAAACGCTGTTATGCGACGGATACTTTTCGCTGACCACGCGGACGGTCCAAGGCCGTGCCGTACATTTATCGGCTTATCACCGCCCCGCCGAGCCGAGGCGACCGGTAGCCGGACTACTTGCTCCGTTGTGGGAATACGAATAATTATCGCGTCATACCTCCTGGAATTGTATTTATAACGATTCCAGGAAGCGTCTCTTCGACACGCCGCGACGCAACCACGTGCACCGCCTCGACTATAAGATTCGAGATGCGCTCGACCACGTTCGAACGCGATCCTCTACTCTCCGTCACGACGGTCCAGTTTTATCTTACGTTTCCCGATACAGTCGAGTCGCGTTTGCGAGGAACTATTTTCATTCGTCGCGTAAATGTAAGTACATACACCTCGAATCGACGCGTAACCTTACCGTGCTACTATAATATCTTAATATACAGTATATGTATAGTATATACATATATTCTCAATTCCTCCTCCTCTTCTCATTTTTATTACGTTTACGCAAACATCCATGCGGACCACGAGGTGCGATCCACTCGACCGCAGAACGCTGGAAAATCAAGAGCTTGTCAAAATAAAGCCGCAGTCGATCGGCCACGACCCCGGGAAGGTGCAGAATCCAGGTAGTCGAGGTATCTTTTGTCGGAACTAAATGGATTCCCCGGGAGCGACCGGCAAACGATGCTTTTTCCCGCTCGACAAGGTGCGAAGCACGCTTTAAAGAAGAAACTCGAAGCCTATCCGACCATTAAAGGCACATTTCGCTCTGCGAAATGTACAGTCGTCCATTCACCGTTACTTTCGATCGATTAAACGTATTCCGTGGCAATTGTTGTGCGAATCGGAGTGTTTCGTTTTCACCTTTCAAAACCGAGGTGAGAACATTGCGCGGCATTAGAAACCGCAATTTATTAGGCAAACCCCTGCAACGATGTCACGCGCGACATAACTTATGGTTGGACAGCGATGCGAGCGATACAGAGAATAGTCGTATATAACGAACGTTATGGTGTTACCGGTGGATGGTGGAGTGGCACGGTGTCCAGTGACTCCCATGTCGGCTTGTTATCCGGACCGCCCCATCGTTATCTGCAATTACCCGAAAACAGCCCCTAGTTTATAAATTATAGACCATCCCCATCCTCATCCCCATCCCCATCCCCATCCCCATCCTCATCCCCATCCTCATCCCCACCTACGCTGCTTCGACCCCATCTCCATCCTCATCCGTAAGCCGTTCTTCTTCCTTCCCTTGTCCGCCCCTGCCATCTACCTCTTCCCACCAACCACCATCAGGATTACATCTGTCATCAAACGCACCCAATTACGTTCAATTATCTTGCAAACGCACCCCTTCCGCCGCGATCACCTCCATGTATACATATCGCGATCTCGTCGTGACTATCGTTGACGCCGCCGATGTTGCGGTAGCCCTGATCGTCTATATCTATGTAGTTTCCAACGTATGGTAACGTAGAAAAGGTGACACGCGCCGATCGCAAACGAGCGCGTCACATTTTTCACGAGTCGTTCGTTCTCTGTAGAGGACAAGAAAGAACGGTGCTCTTCCGGAAAAAAAAAGCTACTGGACGCAATGTCACGGAAGCTGACCGTGTAAGATCCGAGATTAAGTGACGCGAATCCCAGTTAGAAGCGATTTTCCCCCACGACTACTCGTGCTACCCATGGTCAGAGGGTCGAGGTGCACGCCGACGACAATGCGATCGGTCTGTTCGAACCATTGTCGCGGAGACATTTCAATGGACATCGCGACAATGAACTGTTGACAATTGTGCGTCGCGTTGCGTAAAAGGGCGGAGGGTTAGGTTCCCTTCGATGGGCATAAGCCTGCTTGACTGTACTTTTCACGCCCTTTTCCACAGACGTCCGTGAAATTATTATGTCGCGTGACCCTTCTCCCGCGTAGCAAACACACATCTGCTATTATTAGCGGAAAATATTCCTGCCAATTTCCGATAACCGCTTGCCACTTGCGTCGGTGTTTCGGGAATTCCTGTCTAATTACATACACGGGATATAAGCAATTTACCGTGAGGAACAAACTTGTATAACAGCCTTTATTTTATCGATACGCTACAATCTTAATAGACACGCGTTGCGCACCATCGCGTGTGGCCGTATCCCGCAAATACGTAATTCTCCTTTCTCAACTGTTTTTTCGCCGGACGCGACGCGACGCGTTACAATAATTATTACGAGACTTAACACTGCAGAAATAGGTCAAGCGATACAATTCATAATTCGACGCCTTCTCATAACACGGCTCAACGTTTCATCGGAATTGTCGCGACTTGGCGGTTTCGTTCCTAAGCTTTTTCCAGCAAAAACGCCAACTATACGTTCGTTATCCTGTCCGCCGATGCTGGACTATACCTAACGGGCAACGACCGTGATACGGGGAACACCACACGCATGCACGCTTGTCGAATCCCCAATCCATTCTAACTTCTAACCGTTGATAATAGGTATTTATAAGAAGACTGGCTTTAGCACAAAAATACATCTTCGTAATTACATGTAGACCATCTCCGTGGTAAGACCGGAGTATCGCAAATAATTTGCTCGTACCGTAAAAAGTTTAAACATCGAGACATCTCGCCAGCGCCGCGAAGACCCAATTGATGGGTCACGCGCGTCTCCACCTCTAGAATTCTTCGGATCGCGCGAAAAGGGAAACACATTCCTCCGTTCTGCCGACGCAGACTCGCTAAACGACCAATCCTCATACTTAACGCCGACTTCGTCACAGAAATACGACACGCGATACTCACAATATATGTATACGTTAATGTACGTATGTACGTATGTATGTGTCTCTATGTATTTATATAAGTATGTATATATGTATATTTATATATTTACACACGAAGTTTCAACTTTAATATGCACTTGGAAGACAGAGGTTCATATGTTACGCGCATATCGATAATTGTAATAAATTTATGCGTGTCGGTGCGCGTGTGAAAACACGCGTCCACGCAAACACATGCAGGTTACTCTTAAGTACGTAATTAATCACTTCTTCGCTATACATACGTTCAGCGCGATTCAAGAACCATTCGATTTCATATTTTTCCTTCTTTCCGCTACTTCTTTTCAAGATACAAAATCTCTGTACGTATGGAGAATTAAAGAGCGATTGGAACGATTATCTGAGCCGTTCGTGGTCTGGAAAGACGGCCAGTTTCTAATTCGACTCGATCGATCGTCCCAGGAACGCGCTTAGAACGCTAGTACATCGTTGAAATGGACTATTCATCGACTAATAATGAATGCACGTTTGTGATATGTTAAAGGATTATTCAAAATTTCGCGCACTCGCCGAAGCCCGCGTTGCACAAAGACTCGATCGCGTCCCTCCAGACGCTACTCCCGGGAGCTGTTGGAAAAAAGGGTAATTGATCATATTGATGACTGCGAACTGGCCACGAACCTGCGTCAAAATTCCTTTCGCGATAGAAACCTTATCGTAGAGAATCGTACAACTAACGCGAGCTCCGCCGATCGCTCCAACATATTTACATGATATGTTACATCGACGATCAGAAGATAAAAACGGGAGGATCTAGTCTAGCGATCGTTATAGACGTAGAAATTAGATAGGGAACCACTAAGAGCGATATGAAAATGACAAAACGCTCGTTTCCAGTGTCGCTGTATCTATGTATGTACATACCTTGAAACAGAACTGCGTTTACAGAAAGAAAACGTACGCTGTTCGCCGTCGAGAATTCTTGTGCTTCATTGATTTCGTTCGAAAAGGAAATCTTATTTCACGGCAACTTAAGCTCGGAACAATCCGAGGACAATCCGACATATTGTGCAATATTATTTAGGTATGTACATGCCGAAATACGATATACAATCGATGTAATTGTTATAATCGCGACCAACGAGGAAACGCAACTTATGATGTCGCGATCTAGATCGATCAGCTCGAGCAGACTCGTTCCTTTATACTTTATATTATGCTCTTCAGCTGCCTGACAGGGCTTTGTTTTCTCGTCGGATACACGGACATGATTTTGATACGCAGAGTCCGGCTCCGCGGATCGTATCTCTGCGTGGCTATGCGATCGATGAAATTTTGTATTTTAAGGATTCAATCGTTAATGATGATACACCGTTATACCGGAAAAACGAACAGGTTCTTCTTCTTCCTCGATAGAGCGCAATATGCATTGGGCATAAATTCGCATTGGTACTGTAGTTTGCAACGTTTACGAATCCCTGAGGAAACGTCTACTCGGTGAAATGTTAAAATATCAGTTGGAAAAGCGTATGGTTTGTTCGACGCTAGATCGGCGATCCACGGAGCACGTTGCAAACTACTGTACCGATCGTTTTACCGATCGAGGAGGAACATGATCGATGGCTATCGTTATTCTTGAAGACGGTTCCGCGGTCGTCGATGAAATTCGTTTTGATTTCGCACAGTTGTTGTTTCGTGCACCTGGCAAATCTAGAAACTCAACTCTTCTTACTCCATGGTGTCGTACTTGACCTTCTCGACTTTGAAGTAGCGGTAGGCCGCGTACCCGGTAATGGTGAGCAGAACGGCGGCGGCCAACGTTGAGCCGACAGCGACTGGTGCAGTCTCGTCCCGGAAACCGCGGGCGCTCAACGCCGTACAAGAGAATTCAGCGGCAAACTCGTTGTTCTTGAATTTGAACGGTTGCAGCTTCAGGTCTCTGAAATTTCAATCGTACCCGTTTGTAAGTAGTTGCGTTTTTTACTTCTACTTTTGCCTTGCGATCGATCATTGATAGACCACGGGCCGGAACACTACCACGCAACGCTCCCAATTCGTCTTCGAACGAAAAGAGTAAACGAAAAGGAATCCGTGGGACCAGCAACTACGATCACCCTCCATGTATGTCTGTGTACCTGAGAAACACGTTGGCGTAGTTCGTGCCATCGGTCAGCGGAATCTTCGTCTCGTCGCTGCAGGAATACGACTTTCCGACCGGTGTGGGAAACAACATGGAGCTGTGTTTCTGGCTGCTGCTCAATCGTCTAGTCTTGCCTTGAACGGAAAAGAAATCGATTGAAGTCCAATATTATCGCACGAGCAAGACAACCTACGGCCACACAAAGTCCGACTACTTAAGCTCGATTCGACTCGACGCAACTTACCTGGCTGATCGATGTGTTCAAAGTGTCGATCGCTGGAATTATAGGTCAACTCGATTTTCTCGACGTACCATCGTTCTCCGCCCGGCGTCTAAAAAATTCATTATTTTTTCCCTTCAATCGATGAATTATAAAAATGTCGCAATGGAACGAAACACTGGAATCGAAATGAAAACGTATCAGGAAAAAAAAAAGGGTATGGCGTCGGTTTTTATTCGAGACGTGTTCGCGAAACAATTCGTGTCATTGAATGTTCGCAGATTGATAAAACACGTCCGCGGAGAGAAGAAACGATGTCAAGAGTGTCGAATCGATGCAACTACTCGAAATTGTTACCTTAGCAAAACTCCACGAGAGTAAAAACGCGTCCCACTTCAGGAACATCGTCACCGTGTTTTCGTTGTTGCAATTACCGGTCACCGTGGCATCGTTCGGAACGTAAATGCTCGCTTCCTGCAAAATTTATCGTTACTGTAAGTTTTTTACGAACTAACATCCCCCACTTCCACCTTGATCGTTTTTCGCATCAATTAGAATCTTACCTGGTCTTCTCCGAGTTTTGTACGATATTTCACCGTGATCAGAGCATCCACTTGCAAAAGAATGCAAGCTTGTCCGTTGCTTCCGTCTAAACGGTACAAAGGTTGTTCCGTGGAGAATGATTTGTGCTTCGTCGTTGACTCCGAAGGCATCGTCGACGTACTCCTCAGCTCGAAGTTCAATATATCGTTGTCATTAAAAGCAGGACCCTTAACAAACGATTTTATCATTTACTTTATAGCCCTATTGCGTTACGTTCGACTGTGAGAAAAAATTGTAGAAGGTGTGAGGTGTGACAGATCGTTCCAATCCATCGTTCGTGAAAGCACCGCGAAGCAACAGGCGATCGTTATCGGTTTACATGAAAATAGCTATCGCTCGCGATCTCGAAACAAAGTTATCGTCTCGATCTGTATTTAACGAACAAACCAATTATCTCGATTGCAAATCGTAGAGCCGGCAATAGGTTTCCGTTTTGCTAGTCCGATCTACACAACTGTTTACACGCACGATACATACATCGTTGTTACCAGACTTCTGATGCGTGTATCGATCGCGAGAAACTATCTAACAAGATTGACGCAGACTTCCGCAACGATTAATTATTCAACAACGTTGTTACGAAGCTGTTTCTTTTAAATCGCCCGAAACGTTCTCACAGCTATAAATTTCTTCTGTTTATAGTTTTCGAAGAGCACTCTTACCAGCGGTTGCCTTGATTTGGAAACAGGCAGGTCAAATAGCACCCTCGGTGTCCTGCGTGTCGTGTACAGTTGCTCGTCTAATTTTTGTGGCAACGACGAGGGACTCGGGACGCTGAACGCTGTGCTCGAGACACACCCTGCGGAGAGGCCATTCTTTATTAGCCCTTTCTTCATTGCACGCAATACTTTTCCGTCACGATACGTGTAGCAATTACATTTTCGCGAGCTCGTTGCTCGTTCTTAAAACCGGACGCACTTGCAAGGTGGTTCACTCTCTCGAAAAATACCTCGTAGAAAACTTGTACGTCCGTTGCAAAAGATATCACGAGAACAACGAATGTCCTTATCTTTTTTAAAAGCCAAATATATGTCACGCGAGTACAGGTGGTCACGCTACAATATTTTCTTTGAATACACGCCATGAACTAAGTGATCCAAATGTAAAATTCGTAAAATAAAGTACGCGGTTGCTTGGCGACGATAAGAATCGCGGTTGTTGTACAACGAACGGATAAAAATTAGAAATTTGGAATCGAAATCGACGACTTCTGTAACTCGCCGAATATGTTCGTCGATAGCGAAACAAAGATGAACAAGGTCTATACTACTCATCTATAATATGTGACGATTTATGATGAAGATTTTGATTTTCAGTTCACGGTGCAACGATAGGTAGAGAGCATTGTACGTCGGATGTTGTGTCACGATGAAGCCACAAGATTCTCGATTCTATTAGAAGCTACTGAAACGTATCATACAAAAAACGTACGAAATCGAACGAGGAACTCACATAATACAAATATGGCCTTGCTGTAATCCATGCGACGCGCCATTGCCTCTTCTTACTCGCTCGTTTCGCTATTAGTAAGTAGCAACTAGGAACCACGAAAGAATAACGAGATTTAAACAAATACGTCTTGTCGCGCTAGTTGCACGCAACACTGTTATATCGAGACGACGTTCGTGGAACTTGTGAGTTTGTGAGGCGAGCGAGAAAGCTCAGGCGCAGATGGATCGATAGTAGAAGCTTTCAGCATGCGCTGCGATGCCTTTCTGTGTCTGTGTACATGTACACAGAAAAGCACAGCAAAGTACGTTCGCTCGTTCGATGCTACCCTTCGGGGTGGCGTTCTCGGTGACGTCGGGCGTTGGCGTTAGCGTTGACGTTGGTGTTGGCATTGATATGGCTTTTCATTCATCTTACTCGCTCTAGCTAGTGGCTACGCTCTAGGTGCTTCAGACTATGACCGGTCAGTAATCACCCTTTTTGAATCGGGATGTAGGTAGTCGCAAATAGAGTGGATAGTATTCTCGCAGGAGTCTTATCATCCGTAACATCAACCAATGATATTGATTTTCTAAGTTTTCTAAAAACAAAAATTTCTTCTTGTTCTTTGTTTTTATCGAAACTTTACGAAATTAGATTCAGTACGTCGCGAAATCACCCCCGCAATGAAATAAAGGGTAAAGGAAATTGTATCCGAGGACAGATTTGGTGCATCGAAGTATCGCGTGGGCAACTCGTTAGACGATGAGTAAAGTTCAAATAGTCGTCGTTTACGTAGAACGTTCTGGCAAACTTGAAGAAAATTAACGCTGGGAAGAAATCGCGATAACATAAAGGACATAAATAAACAGCAAACTTTACGTCTAAATACAATCGCTTGAAACGCCGAAAATATAAATCATATTACTTCGAAATTACACTTGAGCAAGTATAAACTAACAAAACCCTGTTTAAAAATCTCTCATCTGTGTGGATAAAATTTTTAATGTTTTATTTTTACATACTTTGGTCACGCTTTGTATTTATTCATTAATTTCTCATCTCCAAAGATTGGAGAAAATAAAGATATTAAGTAAATGCGTAATAAATTCGACGTTTTATCTTTACACGGACTGCTAATCATGTTTGTTATCTTCTAAAACGCGGTGTATTTGATCACAAACGGGGTGCCATAAGGATAGACATCAACTTTCCGGAACTTCGTGGCCCTAGGAATCTGTAATACCGATACTTTAAAAGTCTGCGATTTTAGCGCCCTCTATGTGATAAGAATGGTGAATTTCAGAATTATAATGAAGTGCTGAATTCCCGGAAAAATCGAACTACGTAAATGCCTTGTATGTATGTATGTTAGGTCTATTCTTACACCTCGTCTATAATTTGATCCTCTGAGGTATGTATGTATATACAAATGTGTGTTGTATAAGAATAAACCTTTCATCTTATGTATGATTGGTATATGGGTTGGTAACCACCTAAACTGTATTACCAACAGCTTAATGAGCCTATGATTTTAGTAATCTCTACATTATGAGACCGGTGAATCTACGGTGGGTAGTGACACTAAAATGGAAATGGAGCAACGCTACCTCAGAAAAGTGGGCCGAAGAAATACATTGGATGAAAGATCTAGTTTTATTATATGTACCTCGTCGGTGCTCTAATAAAGCGAATTATGCACATACATTGTATAAACTTAAAACGCAATCCTCACGAACAGAGTAGATGACGCATACTGATCACTAATTCTACAAGAGTTCGAACTTATATATTTTAGGCCAGATGTCTCTGAATACGCGTTCTATTTCTCCACCGATAGATTGCGCGTGTATGCCGGCTGTGATCATAACCATCATAACCCAGAGGCAAAACAAAACAAACGCATTTTCTTATGAGTTTTTCATGAACGAAGTCGCGTTCGCAACAGGAACATAAAAGTTGGAGAATCGATTCAATTTTCTATTCATGAAACAACAGAATCGATGATTGACAGATATTTGTAACGGTTCTTTTTGCTTGGAGGAGTATGTTGGTTCTCAGAGTAAGAGACAGAGGATAACGAGAGCCGAGTGAACTGCGTAGTGAAACGAGAATTGTTTCTAATTTTTAGGCGACGCTCACTAATCGATTTCCAGCTACCGCTGTGTTGCGACCGGTTGTTCAGGATTCCTTATTTCGAAGAAATTTCGCCGCAAGTGCTAATCCCGAAGCGAAGATGTCGTTTGAAGCTGAAAAGCGTAAGGCACACGATTATTTTGTTTATACTTCGATAATTACGTAAATGCCAATCGTACGATGCGTCAACCCATTCTACATACATATATGTACATACAAATTTCAAGATTCAGTCTGTCCTTCTCGATACATCTCGTATAGTCCTCACAAAGATACAGCGTGATCGTAAAATTATTCAAGCAGTACTGTAAATATGTTTCGAGTACTTATCGGGCAATGTGAATTGATCGAAGTATGAGAATATAAGAAACTGAAACCTCAGTCAGGACTGTACGCGAATGGCCCTCGATATATGTATATTATACAGTACAATATTGAAACTAAAGTTCCAAATATTCTAATTAGTAATTAATATTTGCTTTTTTTCTACTTGTAAGTGAAATACTATTAGTCGTAAATTGTTATTCTTTTATTACGCGAAACCCTACAACAGATTGCACAACACGAGCAGTAGTGCCGCGGTATTAATCGGTACCGTCGCTCGATATGTTAACTTTCGACCACGTTAGGTATATATCTGCAAAAACTGTACATTTAATCATACGTATAATCCATCGAGTCTCGTGGAAAGAACAGTTATATACACGGGATGTTCTTTATCATGATTGTCCCCTTTTGAATAGAAAAATTCTTAACCATGCCGTTGGAAGAGAAAAGAAAATACTATAAAGGAAGCATTACCACATTGGATCAAATACCGTCATGGGTGAATTATTGGAATGAGAACAAAACGAATATCGGGATAATGACGCTTGAGAAAGTCGAAAAAATCGACGAAGAAGTAGCTAAGAAAGTCTCTATGTGGCAAGGTGACATTACTTCCCTAACGATAGACGCGATCGTAAATGCCGCAAATTCGAGCCTTCTTGGCGGTGGTGGAGGTATGCTGAACTATAGGTTTGCTATAAGTTGGCTTAGCAGAAGCAGATACGCGATAAATGGTACATAAAATATTCTTCAGTTGATGGAGCTATTCACAGAGCCGCTGGACCAAATTTAAAGAATGAGTGTGCTACTTTGAGAGGATGTCGAGTTGGAGAGGCTAAAATAACTGGGGGTTACATGTTGCCTGCAAGATGTTAGTACGTACAACAAGGTATAAGATGCAGCTCTTTGATAGACATTCATCTTTTAGATGTCATTCATACCGTTGGACCCCAAGGAGAGAAACCAGAGAAGTTGAGAGAATGTTATGAAAATAGTCTTGCTGTAGCCAAAGAAAATGGACTGCGCACCATAGCTTTTCCTTGCATATCAACAGGAATATACGGATACCCTCAAAGACCAGCCGCTAAAGTAGCTTTGGCTACGGTAAAGAAGTTCCTACTCAACAACAAAGAGGTGGTAATTTTACTTGTACATTTACATAACCCTGAAAAAGCTTGCCAGAATGTAAAGAAACGTTTTAAACTTGCAGGTGGATAGAGTCATATTTTGTCTATTTTTAAAAAGTGACAAAGACATATACGAAGAGTTATTACAGAAGTATTTTGCCATCGATTAGATCCTTACTGATTATTATCCAATGAATGGAGTACAAAGCAAACATAAAACTGTATAAGAGCGTGCATGAAATAATATTCTTAAAAAACATAAGAGAAGAAGTATTCTTTCCCAGATGTTATTCCCGCTCAAAAGATTGTAGAGAGAATCGTTGGAAATCGCGGATACGTACACCGTGCTCGAATGTACATAACTAGTATCGACTGTTCAAAATTTCGCGGGTAGACGCGTTGTTCGTGGTCGGAGAGTGAGTGATTGCCGCGATGGCAGCGCCACGATCTTACGGTTCGTCCGCATCGTGTTTCGGCTCGACGACGGCGCGTCGCCATCTTGAAAAATCGAAGTGTGGTAATGTCTGTATGTGGTAATAGGTGGGGGACGGTCGTTAATGTGGTGCGTCTCGTACGGAAAATCTGTCACAAATGGGTAAATATCTTTTGCACTGAAATCACTCGTTTTGAGAGTCAGCCGGTTTCGCGGTTATCTCGTTGGCCGGAACGAGAAAACGCTGGTAAAAGAGCACACCCATAGCTAGGTACTGGTGCTCTCGGCGATCTGTCGCGGTGAAGGTGCGCTCTCTCGAGCGGTTAGTGAACAGTGCGTGCGTCCAAACGAAAGTACAGTGTCGATCCTGCCGATGTTTCGGACGATTTTTATGGTTATCGTCGTGGCCGGAATTTTTATTTAATCGTTTGACTGCGAGTAACACGACGTCGTTGCATCGTCGAACGTCGCGAAAGCGAAGTGTGTGCGTGCGTGCCTGCCTGGCTGCTTTGCGTGCGTGCGTGCGTGTGCGCGCTCGCGGCATGAAAATTCACGGATACCTCGCCCTGTGAAGAAAGCGATCAGAAAAGAGTCAAAATAATTGTGCGTTATCGTGGTCGGATCGAAGCGTAAGCAGCGTATCCGATCGGTGGATCTCTTTCTCTCGGTCGCTCGAATAAGGCGGACGTGCGGACGGAGTCCCGTAATCCTGAATGGCCGCCGCCACCGCTTTCTAGGTTACTGACGGACACCCAAAGAGAGCGACAGAGAACGTGTAAGAAGGATAGAGCGGGCAGACGTCTGAAATCAGAAAGAAAGAGTGGGAGCGAGGAGAGAAACGAGTGGTGCAGTTAGAAAGAAAGAGCTAGCGATCGAGACCGTACGTGGGGCGGAGAGAGACAGGGCGAGCGGAAAAGAGAAAGATAGATGAGGGGCGAGCAACCGTGAGCTCCATACACGACCGAGTACCGATGTGCGGCCCTCGAGGTACGCGATCACCATCTCCCAGGTGTATTTCACGCGTTCGTCGCCGATCTGAGATCGGGGATTCGCTGCATGTGGCGGACGAGGCTTAAATCGCTGGTGCTGCTACCGCCGCTGGCTGGTGCCGCCGCCACAGCCACAGCCACTGTCATCGTCATCGTCATCGTACCGCTACCGTCATCATCACCGTCACCGTCATCACCGCTTTCACGACTGTCTTCGTTGCACACGTCGGCATGGACGCCGAGACTCTACCTTACAGATAAACGAACGCGTGCTACTCTTGCACTCTACGCGTGTATGTATCACGACGTATACGTATTCCAACGAACAGAGTGATATATCCTCAAGCTCGTCGTCGTCGTCGCGTTCTACCTATCTACCTACTGGTACTAAGTGGGTGTGGGTTTCTCGTTCGTATGGCTGGCGTGTGTGCGTGCGCGTGTACTCACATGTACGTACCCCGTGTACCTGCGTCGCGTGCATCGGTGCCTATGTATAACTGTTCGCTTATGTGCATTATCGTATAAGCGTGGTAAGTATTACAAAAATCGGCATTACGCGAGGAGAGAGGGAGTGTCAGTGAGAAAAAGTTGCCCGCAAGAAGTCGCTTTGCTATCCACGGTTCTCTGTCTCTTTTTTTTCTCTCCCTCCCCACCCTCTCTCTCTCTCTCTCTTTCTCTCTTTCGATTTGGCCCCTAAAAGGCTTCCCCACCCTTCTTCTCTGTTGGCTTCACCTTGTATTTTTGCTCTCATAGTCGCCGAGTAAAATGAAAAGGATTTTCGTTTCTCGTGTGTCACAATCGCCCATCGAAGCGTATTTCACACCGACACTATACGTTTCACCTACTTGAAACCCATTATCATTTGATAATTTGTTTCACCGTGTATCCTAAGTCGTTGAATAACTCGACGAATCGTATCGAATTGCTCAGTTCGCATCTTCGAATCTCTAGTCAACAAGATAGTGACCATTACGTTACTCGATCCTGATAGCTGCGAAAAATGTGAACAGTGGATCAAACGATACGTATTTCAACGTACGGTGCATACATAGTGTAGAATAGCCACGCGTGCGTTCGTTACTCCATTATTTGACAACTGACACCTCCTTCGGGTCAGCCACTTCCTCGTGTCTGCCGAGCAATGCAACTTGCAAAGAAACCTATTACCGGCCGAAACGGTCTTTTGTCATCCGACTAGCCCACAGTTTTTTCGCCCTTCTTCCAAGCCACCCACGCGATGCTACCATATATTCTCCCTCTCTTAGAACCTTTTGTCAATCCGATACGCTCGAAATGTAGCCTCTTGCATATGTGTGCGTCAACCTACGTCTCGTAAGGATAGAAGTTACATATTCTACGTGAAAAGAACTCGTGGGGGGAAGAAGAAGATGAGGAAGAGGAAGGCGAACGGCTCATCGTTTTCCAACTATTAGTATACTGTTACTTCAAAGTGTAGAAATACATAATTACGGTACGAACTACAGCGACGATGTTTGATAGATTTTCTTTCTAGTTAATTTCTGTAGGTTTGCGGGCTCGTTCTCCAATGCTGAGTTACTCGATACTGCCGTGAATCGACGAGGTATCATTTCCATGATGGTGTACCGCTTCTCGAAAGTCAAAATAGTCGTGTCCAAGATGGATAGCTTCATTCCGCGATCACGGTTATCGGATTTTCCGGTAACTGCCGTGCGCCGGCATCGGAATCGATGCAACGTGACACGAGACGACGATTCTCTTGTCCTTTTCTCCCGCGACCGAAAGCGGTTACGCTCGATACGCCAACCAGACAAAATAATCTCTCTTAGCGAGAGTTCATCGTTACCCGTCAGCCAACGATTTATTCTTGGATTACATTATGGAACCTCGGTTCGCGAGTTTATGTAATAGCGTTCGTGCGGCTAGCGCGCAACCACCAACGGCAAACCGGACCAAGACAGAGTAAAGCAGAACAGAGCAGTGCAAAGCGAAGAAAAGCGGACCAAGTGTTTTTCACGTAACTGGTCGAAACGTCGAATCAGAGTCACACAACACACACTCGTTTCGAACGCTTGTCTCTGGTCGTTTTCGAAAGAATCCGCCCATTCGCGTTGGTCAACGAGAAATGATTGTACATATAGTAGCAAAGACTCGCCGTCGTCTGTTACGTTCGGAGTGAAGAAAGACCGCAAGCTTGGATCGACGATGAATCGAGAAGTTCTGGAGGTCGAGGAGGTGCGGCTACCTCCCCCAGTTGCGCGTGTACCGCTGACCCAGTTCATAGGGATGATGGTCTAGGATCTAATTTTGCGCGACTTCGAGTAGCCTAGTTTCGACTTGCCCTTATCGTATGTTCCTACCGCACCTGCATTCTTCCGCGAACACGGTCTGTGTCCGCGATCCTCGTAGCCCCAGCCACAGGTGGCTCGAACTTTAAAAGACAACGACGGAAACCGACGCGGGGCGAGGCGACACATACACGCGGCACGCCTACTCCCCCGATTAATTCGCGGGAAAACTTTTCCTCGTTTCGTAGACCAACGGACCCCAGCGATTCTTATGCTCGCGCTCGGTGCTATAATTAGTCGACGATATCTCGCAGGTGCCCACTCGGTAAAAGCGTGTTCGAAACACCTGTTTCTCTGACGTACAGAACTACAACGACGCAACGTCGACCAATTATTCGAATCACGGTCACGACACCCTGAAATAATCGACAGATAGATTTTATGGATCCATCCAGTCGTCGTTCGTTTCGGACCTCCGTAAAGAGTATGCTTCCTCGTCGTGCCACTTCGGGCAATTCCAAGTTTGGTAACAGTTTAAACCTCCGTCGATATTCCCTTCCTTCTTGTCCGCACGAAGTGAATTCGACAGAGGAACCGTTTCACGACGCTGCCGACCGAGTTTCTCCTTGTTATGTACATATGTCTTTAATACTTTATACATCCGACCTGTCTCTGTGGCTTTTGTGTTGCAAGGCGGAAGTGTGTCGATCCTCTCACTTTGTGCCTCGCACGTTGGACATCGGGGTGTGCTGTGGAGTATAAGTCTGGTAATAAAATTACGCGGAACGACGTTATCACGATTCAAACAGAACACGTCCCGAAGGAGCAACATCATATGCCTCTCACGAAGGACGAAATCTCTGCGATTCTACGAAATGAAAATCACCGTCGGTTAGACGACGCGTATTCATTTTATACCAATCAATGTTACACATCTGTAATTAATGCTGCGCCCATGAGTGTTAAGTTTCTAATTGTAAGTTCTGATCGTCTTTCACAAAGGTATCGCGTTAGAATCGATTTTCGTTTAATAATCGCGTGCTGGTCAATTACGATGCTCAGGACCAATGACAAGAAAACGATATCTACCAACTTGTCAAACTGTCAAATACTGCTGTACAAGGTCCAGAACCATAGATCTTGTGTATACTCGAAGATTTTCCTACATCGAAGACTGGATTCCGGTCCCCTTTGCTCCCGCTTCGTTCCGTGACGTAGCTAAGATAATGTTCGACGGGATTAATAATCTCTCAATGCCGAGCAACGACTTTCGCCAACCTTGTTTCATTTAGCCTGGTCGAGGTGGAAACGAGCAACACGTAACTCGGCGACGCTGGTCGCGTATTTTCGTTTTCCGTGTCTGTTGTTCCATTCGCTCCACGATTCCTATTTCTACCAGAACGGAGCAGGAAGCGACATAGAGAAGGCCAGAAATGAAAGTACCGGCGAATCATCGATTTTCTTGATCACGTCGGAAGCAAAATAAATGAAAAGGAAAAGAACGTTTGTTGTTTTTGCATAAAAACCGAGAGCACTGTAA